CAGGTTCCTCGGCTGAGACACTGCATTCTTCTACCGCAGCGTTCTCATCTTCTTCAACAATGGCGTCTATTTCTTCCACCTTCACCGACGCCATCGTCACAAATACTAGCGCCGCCGTCTCTCTAACCGCGCCGCCGCTGGTCTCATCTTCTCCGATAAGCTCTGTTCTGGACACTTCTTCCTCTCAAACCGGAACAGCTTTCTCGGGTGCATACTCTCTGTTCCAGAACATACCTCCGGCTTTTCCATGGCAGACGGATGCCATGAACCAGGTTCCAGGTCGGCCCTCCCCTATACCGCCACCTCTCACGCCTCCGCCGCTCTCCAGCCCGGGATATTTTGGTTCCACGTTTTCTGGCACACCTGGACTGTCCAGGCCGCTAGAACAGTCCCTGCTTCAATCCCCGATGGCTGCAGTTGCTCACTCTATTGCTCCGGCCAACAATGTTACTCAAATTGTTACAATCAAGCTTAAGGCGGTTGAAGACTACATCACATGGCGTACTCAATTTGAATCATTCCTAGTCTCTCAAGGGGTTTTTGGCTTCTTGGATGGTTCCACACAGGTACCTCCAATGTACACGGTTGATTTTAATAATCGCCAAATCATTAATACGGATTATTATCACTGGCTAAAGGTTGATCAAACTATTCGTTCTTGGATTTTTGCTACTCTTACTCGTGATGTATTAATTGATGTCCATGAACTTAAACACTCCTTTGAGATTTGGGAACGATTGCAAAACCGTTTTCGTTCTGCTAGTCTGGCTAGGTCAATGACTCTTAGGCGATTGTTGTCTAATATGAAAAAGAAAGAAAATCAGTCTATGGAAAGTTATTTAAGAGAAATTCATGTATTAGTGGGTGAATTAGCCGCAATTAATTCTCCTGTGTCCAATAAAGAAGTTCTTCAGACCACACTCATGGGACTTGGACCAGAATATGAATCCACCATGGGCACTATTTCTCTCTTCCCCGACAATTTTCCGCCAGACGTTCTTCACCGGAGCCTGTTAGAGGCCGAACAGAGGGTCTTATATCTTCGACAGCAAACTGCTCCACCTGCTTATCAAGCCTTCGGTGTCCAGGATCGGGACAATGCCCCACGTGGTGGTCGTGGTGGCCGAGGACGGGGTGGCCGTGGAAGAAACGGGCGCGGCAGAGGCCGCGGCTACACCCAGTACGGACAACAGCCCCCTCTCGGCCAAGGGCAGCAGCCGGGTCCACAGCAAGGGCAGCACACGGGGCAGCCCCATCATCAGCAAGGGTTCGGCCATCACCATAGAGAGCAACAGCAACTGAGACCTCCGAATGCAGGTGCTATAAGGAATTCTGTTTTGTCCACTTTAAATACTCATGCTATATTATATTGTGGTACTAATGTTAACTCTGCAGGCTCTTCATCATCTGAGGGAATTCTTGGGGCAATTCCTCCACCTGTTGTGTGTCAAATATGTTTTTCTGCAGGTCACTCCGCGATCAGCTGTCCTTCTCGTTTTTCTCCACCCACTGCACCTGTTCTTCTCACCGGTCAAGCTAATGAAGCTCTGTGGTATCCAGACACTGGTGCCTCTGCTCATATGACTTCCTCCGAAGGTATTTTGACAAATAAATCTACTTATTCTGGTCCAACTCTTGTTAGTGTTGCTAATGGTGCTCAACTTCCGATTAAACATGTTGGTGATATCTCTTTAAATTCTTCTGGCCGCCCACTGCTATTGAAATCTGTTTATCATGTGCCTAATATTAAATTCAATTTAATTTCAATTCAAAAATTGTGTGCTGATAACAACTGTGTCGCTATTTTTGACAAAAATTCCTTTTTTGTTAAGGACAAAAATTCGGGGACGGTTCTTCTTCGGGCAACAACTAATGGCCATCTCTATCCTCTCAGCCTGAGTCCACCATCTAGCCTAGCTTTATCTTCAGTTCTCACCACTGGCCCTGTGTGGCATCGTAGATTAGGTCATTGTGGTGAAAATATTTTACGTATTTTAAGTAGTCAAAAACGCATATGTAATAGCTCCAGTTTTTCTCATGACTGTATTTCTTGCCGATTAGGCAAGTCCCAACGATTACCTTTTTCAGAGGCTATTCATACTTCTTCTTCTCCATTGCAATTAATTCATTCTGATGTGTGGCAGTCCCCTGTTCTTTCTAATTTGGGTTTTAAATACTATGTCTGTTTTATTGATGATTTTTCTCGTTTTACGTGGATTTATCCATTACGGAATAAAACTGAAGTTTTTGATTCCTTTAAAATTTTTAAATCTTTAGTTGAAAATCTTTTTGACTATAGAATTAAAATTTTTCAAAGTGATGGAGGGGGTGAATTTGTTAATTCTAATATGCAGCAATTTTTTGATACTCATGGCATTTATTTTCAAAAATCATGCCCTCACACTCCTCAACAAAATGGGCTTGCTGAGCGAAAACATCGTCATCTACTTGAACTTACTAGGACTATGCTTATAGAGGCCTCTCTTCCTAGTCAATTTTGGGTCGATGCGTTGTTTACAACTGCATATATTATTAACCGATTACCCACTCCAACATTGTCTGGTCACTCTCCTTATGAAAAACTTTTTCAAAAATCTCCTGATTATTCTCTTTTACGTGTGTTTGGTTGTGCTTGCTTCCCGAATATTTCTGCCACTTCTTCAAATAAACTTTCTCCCCGGTCTATTCAATGTGTTTTTCTTGGATATGCATCTGGTTATAAAGGTTATCGTTGTTTTGATCCTAAGACTGGCAAGGTTTATATAAGTCGTCATGTGCGTTTTTGTGAAAATATTTTTCCATACACCACTTTGACTTCTACTCTGCATGATACACTTTCTCCTTCCCAAACTCCTATACCTTTTTTATCTTGGATCCCATCATCCTCAAAACCAAAAATTCCACCCCAGCCCTCTGTTTTCCCTTCTCCAGACCAACATCATCACCCCACCACACCTTCACCTACACCCAGCCCGTTTCTCTCTTCCATTCCGGCCCAGCAACCTACCCCAGACCGAACTCAGTCTGCCTCCATCTCGGCTGAGTCCAGTCAACTAACCAGCCCACACTCTGCCCCTAGCTCACCTCCTCCGACCAGCCCACCCCTTATCCCATCACCGGTCCCTGTAACCAGCCCAACACCCGAGCCCGAACAGCAACCTCCATCTCCTGTCAATGTCCACCCGATGCAAACTCGGGCAAAATCTGGAATTTTTAAACCCAAGACTATTTTTAATTTAAACACAGTTGCTCTGTCAGCGGATCCTACTTGTTTTTCTGAGGCAAATAAACAATTGATATGGCGTAAGGCTATGGCTGAGGAATTTAATGCACTTATTGCTAATCACACTTGGGATTTGGTACCATTTGATAATTCTAAAAATATTGTTGGATCTAAGTGGATTTACAAGACAAAATTTCTTTCTGATGGGTCTATTGAGCGCCACAAAGCACGATTAGTTGCTCAGGGTTTTAATCAGCAGGCTGGTGTAGATTTTTCTGAAACTTTTAGTCCTGTTATTAAACCCACCACTGTTCGTACTGTTCTCACTTTAGCTATTTCATTCGGGTGGGTTATGCGTCAGCTTGATGTTAAAAATGCTTTCCTTCATGGTCATCTCACTGAAGAAGTTTATATGCGTCAGCCGCGGGGTTTTATTCATCCTCAGTATCCTCATCATTTATGTCGTCTGCGCAAGGCTATTTATGGTCTTAAGCAGGCCCCGCGGGCATGGTTTCATAGGTTCAGTAGTTTCCTACTTTCTCATAATTTTTTATGTAGTAAGTCGGATAACTCTCTATTCATTTACCGCCAGGGCACTTCGATTATTTATTTGTTACTATATGTGGATGACATTATTATTACTGGCAATTCCTCGTCTGTTGTCACTCAGCTCATTCATCTTATTGCTCACCATTTTTCCATGAAAGACTTGGGTGACCTTCACTATTTTCTTGGCATTCAGGCCATTCGTAATCCTAAAGGTTTGTTTCTCTCCCAGCATAAATATGTCTCTGATCTGTTATCTCGTTTTCATTTACACACTGTCAAGTCAGTTCGCACTCCTCTTGCGTCTCGTACTTCCTTATCTCTCACTGATGGCGAGCTCCTTGCAGATGCGACTGAGTATCGCAGTATGGTAGGTGCATTACAGTATTTAACTTTGACAAGACCTGATATTACTTATGCTGTGCATTTGGTTTCTCAATTTATGCATGCCCCACGTACCACTCATCTTTTTGCTGTCAAGAGGATTTTTCGATATTTGCAGGGTACCATTGATCATGGTCTATGGCTTCAGCCTACACCGAAGGCAACCTGCATTGTGGCATATTCAGACGCAGATTGGGCCGGATGTCCCGATACCTCTCGGTCCACCACCGGCTACGCAGTCTTTCTTGGGCCAAATCTTGTATCTTGGAAGTCAAAGAAGCAAGCTACTGTTTCCAAATCCTCCACAGAAGCAGAGTATCGAGCCATCGCCTACACAGTGCAAGACACAATACACATTCGGTCCATTCTATTCGAGCTTGGTTTTCCAGTCACAACACCGGTACGTTTGTTTTGTGACAATATCTCTGCTTCCTACTTGACAGCCAATCCTGTTCAGCATGCTCGGAGTAAGCATATCCAGATCGATTATCACTTTGTTCGTGAACGTGTGGCTCATGGTGATCTTGTTGTTAAATATGTTCCTACCAGTCTACAGTTAGCAGATATATTTACTAAAAGTCTCTCTAGTCAGCAATTTCATTTTTTAAAAGACAACCTGCGCGTTGTATCTCCCGCACAGTTTGAGGGGGTGTAATAGCCTAATATTAAATTAGGAATCCTTTGTATCTTTGGAAACTTTTATCAGTATAAATATATCTGCCAGGTACCCTATTGGGTAACCTCTTTCCCATTATTTCACAGTTTAATGATCACGATATGATAGATCTGCAAAATCCACTTGGTATAAAAGATAACAAACAAATTGTTAAACATTCAACACAAGTCGGACATTTATAACAAGAGTTAATTATCAAAATAGGTAAGCTAAATTAAGTGGTCATGACTTTCGGATTGAATTTTAAGCTAAATTTTTGTGGAGTTAGGGGGTGTTTGGAACTGATTCTGCTTCTGCTTCTTTTTTAAAAGCAGAAGCAGAATCAGAATCAGTTTTCAGAAGCTGGTACCCCCCAGCTTCTAAAAAAACTGATTCTGAGAGTAAATTAGAGCTCCAGAAGTGCTTCTGGAATTTCACCCAAACACTCCAGCTTTTGCTTCTGCTCCCTGAAGGAGCAGAATCAGTTTTGAGAATCAGATCCAAACACCCCCTTAATCTACAATTATTGGATAACATGCTCACAAAATTTAATAAAAATTTTCATAGTAAAGCCCCCCATACATGTTTGGTCGTGCATGCGTAAAACGAATGAAACTTACCTCCAATCATATATATTGTAACTAGACTTCGACTTCAAAACCATACACGTCTGCGGTCCATCTAACATCCTCGCAACCCGATCAACGCCTTTCGTTGACCCAAACCCAACCCGCACATCCTTGCAGGTTGCCAAAATGTAAAACACATTCTCGACCTCAGTGCCGGGATCCTCCTTAACCCTACTTTTCACTTCAATTGTGAAATTGTACACTGCCGCCGATTTCAAATCCGGCGGCACAACAAAATCATTGGCGGCCAGCAGCACCGGCTTAAGCTCAAAATTTCTCTGCCAGACGGTCCCGGGGTGGGCTCGCATTAAGGTCTGGTCCCGGCCGGCCCAGACCACCAATACCTCGATCTCATCGTATTGATCATACAAAGAATGGTATACATCTAGTTTAGACCTAATAATGTCGTCCGGTTTGTTGTTGTTGAACGCGAAAGCAATGGTGCAGTTGGCCGTGAGCGGCGGTGATCGAGAAGTGCGGCTGCTCTTGGCGGCGCTCGCAAATCGAGGCGAGAGCGTGAAGTCCTTGATGTACACTTCTGGAGGCGATGGATATGTCGTATCCAAGACATTAGGTACAATAATGACCACCCCAAGTGCGATTAGTATGAGCACTGGTATAAGAGCTACACATGGATCACACAAATCATCTTGACATGGATCACACAAATCATCTTTCACCATGCTTGATTTGAATGCCAACGAACCTATGCTTTGCTCTTTAAAATAATACTACGTAATAATAATACTACGTAATAACAATAATACTCTGTATTTATGTCCGGCGGCTACTTTTAATTTTGATTATATAATAATGCTGATGAGAACGATATGATGATCTCAGAGTTGATGATCTAGGCCAGAGAGGTTTAATGGTCTGGGATTAGTTAATCTCCTCCAACGAATATGCCTATCTTAAAGGAATGCATGGCTCACGCTTATCCAACAACTGAAATAACTACGCAGTGATTAATTAAGCATCATATGGTACTAATATGATGTTTTCTCCCAAAATTCGGATTTATCAACTCCTAATTAGATAAGTTTCAAACTTTTAAGATGATCAAATTAATAAATCCTATTTTGTAAATACCTCCCTAAACTAAGACTCATTAACTACTATAATTTGATAAGTTTTAAAATTTTAATATTATCAAATAAGTCATATTTTTAGAATAACTCCCTAAATTAGCCCAAATAATAGGTCTGATGCTAAGTAAAAGTTCATTAATGCTCATTCACTAGAAACCATAATTTTCATCTCAATAGCGGAGGTTTGATGTTCAATTAAAATGTCGTGATGTTCAACTAACAAACCTTACGATTTTTATATCAATGTGCACTTGTAAGTATGTATACTCATTTGGTATTGATGTTATGCTCATTTTTAAAATGTCATATTAATGCATATTTCAAAAGTATCATATTACATTAGACTCCCATATTGAAATTAATAGGAGTGGATTATAGTTATAGATATAATTTAATAAGTTTTTATAAAAGAAAAATAAGAAAAATAAAAAGAATTAGAAGATATGAAACAGAGATCGTGATACTCATTGTTACCCTCCTAAGGATGTTTTTACTTGGACTGTAATTTGTCCCAGACCAGACCAGACCAGACCAGACTTGGATAGTTATAAAAATACAAAGAAACCACACCTTACCAGACCAGACCAGACCAAACCAGTTTAGACCAGACCAGATCAGACCAGACCAGACCAGACCAGACCAGCAAATTACAGTCCAAGTAAAAACATCCTAATACTTAATGCAATAGGTCAAATGCTCATTAAAAGTACAATAATATTCATTTAGCGGAAGTCGTGATTCTTCACTTAAATTACAAAAATGTCACCGAATTATTTTGGCATGTCTGAATTATTTGGTTGTCTTCCTTAGTTGGACCGGGTGTACATACACCCAGATGTATGATATAGGCACTGCTAAATTAGGACTCATTAACTCCTAATTTGATAAGTTTTTAACTTTTAATATGATCAGATAAGACATGTTTTGCAAATCTGCATATTTTGAGAATAAAAAATCAGTACACGGTTTGTGCACTTTCTCACATGGTTAGCGATTAATCTCGCTCTTTTTAAGGTGGTCCATTCTAGGTCTAGTCATAGAGTGGGAGGACCGTTTGACTATGTGGAGTCTCCTAGGGAGATTTGACGTTTCGTGATTTTGAGTTTGTTGTAATCATCGATTGCTATAATATACTACCCCCATCCCATTTTATGTGTCTTAGTTTGACTTGACATGATTATTAATGAAGTGGTTGAAAAAGTAAAGTTGTGGTTGAAGTTTGAGTATAATAAAGTGAATTGGTGTAGGCCACATATTTCTTTCCCAAAAATGAAAGTGAACACTTATTTTAGGACAACCCAAAAAGAAAAGTAGGACAGGTAAAATGGGACGGAGGGAGTAATTAGTTTCCTTTCAAGAAAAAAACTCATCATTTAAATACTGAACGAAAAAAATGATCCATCTCATTTCATTCATAATCATTTAAAATCAATCATAATTATTTAAAATCAGTCATCATTTAAAAGCATTATTGATTTGGTCATTGTGTCATTATTGCTTTTATTTATTTTCTTAAATTTATATATCATCTGCTCCCCGAAAGGCCAAAATTTATTTAAAATTGCTTGTAGATATGTCCATACAATGGACTAATTGATCGGTAATTCTAATTGTTGGATTTATTTTGGGTATTAAGCCTTTTTTTATTAACGCATTCAACATTTCAGTGACGGGGTATTAAGCCTTTTTTAGCTTCTTCAATTCTTGTACACACTTTAATATCCACCTTATACCCACCATGTTTGAGAGTAATTTCTTTTTGTCTGTGAATCCGATTCACAGACAAAATAATTTGCATAGGCATATTTTGTCAGTGATCGAGATTCACAGACAAAAAAAAACTGCTCACAAACATGGTAGCCACAAAAATGGGTATAAAAGTGTGTACAAACATTTTTTTGTTTTTTTTATTAGTACGCACTCAGTGACGATATGAGAAGATTGGCCGGGCCTTACGCAGTCCCGCCTGAAAAACGTAACTCGCCCGCAGTTATATAAATACCCTACAAGCTAGCCTGAAATGAATTCCTATATATAGGCCTCTTCTTTCACTCGCCAAACATAAGTCATCGATCAGATCCTTAATTTTTCTAGCTCTGCAAATTAATTTCAACGTACGACGATAGAAATGGCAGATGAAAACAAGTCCACTTTTTGGGGAGGTGCACGGGGAGTGTGCTCTCTCTTGGTGCCTCCGCACGCCGTGTATGAGGGGTTCGGATGCAAGTTTAATGTAAGCTAGCTAGACAATTTATGATTTCAGTTAATACATCAATCACACAGTTTTTATTTTATTAAAACATGACAAAATTTTAAGGACGGAGTATGTATGTGTATGTCCGCGAGTAACATAATTTAATTAAGTTTTAGTTTAAAATTCATTCTGGAAATCAATTAAATACAGAGACGGATCATAGTAGGGGTTGGAGCGCGCTTTAGCCAACCCCGATTTTTTTCTTAAATATAGGTATAGGTTATAAAAAAAGGTGACAACTCCGGTACCCTTCTAAAAATAGGGTACCGTACCTACCATTTATTTGATTGGACCACACCACTTTATCATTTTTAATTTAGATTTAAATAATTCAACTGCTACATTCTCATTGGTCCATGTGGACAAAGGTATGACACCTTATGGGTACCATAGAATCTACCATAAAAAATCGGCGTTCACCTAGTCCCAAAAAATTATTCAAAAAATAAACCTAGTCAAAAAAAGCCAAAAGCTCAATTTAGTGAAAGCCGTAAAGATTAATTTAAAAGGTAATTTATAATTTTAGTCATTCTAATTTTTAATACATAATAATTTCATATAATTACAGAATAATTTCATACACAACATTTTAACAGGAGAATTCTCGAAATAGGAGTAAAAAGGTTTGAAAATTTCAAAATACGACTGTCATATTTTTATTTCCAAAATAGGAGTAATTACTACTAAACTTGGAAAATACTGCCATGTTTAAAATTTGGTACTGCCAAAAGATGGCGATAATTAGACATATTTGGGATTAAAAACATGATAGACCTATTTTGGACTATACAAACGTTTTTAGTCCTATTTAGGGTAACTTTCCAAATATAATGTATTAATGATCATATATTATACATATGAAATTTGATGTAGCATATCATTAAGCTCGAATCGTTAAGTTAGATCTAAAATCAAGCTCGAACTTCAATAGTCCGAAAAATGCTCAGTTCAATCACAGCTCTAAGTTAAATTTTGTGTATAGTAACAATTTTTTTACTGCTTAGCTCATCCTACCTCTTATTCCTAGATCCGCCCCCGGTTAAATAAGTTATCAGAAAAATATTGTGCCTGAATTTGTATAATAAACACAGCATCTTTCAATAATTTATTTTATTGACTTCTCAATTGAATTTTAAAGTGATATTTGGTGAACATAATTTACACTTAATGAAAAACATGTTCACAAAATTTCATACGTACGGTCATAAAAGCTTGACATGAACCTTTCTTTCTGCATATATACCTCCATTCCGGTGAACTTTGCCAAGTGCAAAGTAGGTGAGAAATAAGAATAGTAAAAAATGTGTGGTTGAGATTTGTGCAGATGAGAGAAAATGTCCAGAACCACAAATTATTAGTTGCTTTAATAAGAAAGCTGTAAAGTTTTTTGGGACAATCCAAAATGAAAAATTGGCAAAGTCTAGATTGACATATACGCGCAGTACGGTTGGTACGGATATTATATTTGTAGGGGTTCTCCCCATGATTGACACTGCAGGCTCACTTCTGGATCTGTCTTGTGCTGACTGTGCTCGGATGGCTTCCTGGATTCATTTATGCTGTTGTTGTTCTCTGCCCAGAGGACTAGCTATGTACAATGGTTCCGATGTGCGACTTCAGCAAATATCTGCATGTGTTTCATTTTATTTGAGGATCATACCTAGCTAGCTAGTGGGAATATAATATGCTTAAAGAAATGTGCAACATTTCTTCCCAATTCCCTATATATATGGAGTATTTGGGTTGCTTATTATAATACATTTAAACAAGTATACTTGTTACTCTGTATTTCTTTTACCATCTTAATATCATCTTAATTGTGTGCACCTTAATTTTTTTACCATTCTTCCAGCCCTATCATACGCCGATACGCGAATACGTGTACGACGATTCAACAACTTCAAAAATTATAGGATACGGGTATGAGAGTATATTTATAAATGACAATAATATATGGTATAATTTGCAAATATATACAAATCTGAGGTTCATAACTAAAATAATAATGGTACCAAAAATAACAATTATAATAAAATTTCAAAGATTAGTAAAAAAACTAAAGTAATTATATTTCGATTTAAATTCAACTAATGTTTTTGGTTCTCTATTTGCATTTACATTTAAGTCTTTTAACGAGACTGATTTCAATTTATGTTTATCATGCGACAAATTGACAAATTATATCATTCCAATGTTTTTCTATACTCCCGAAATCATCTTTACTAATGTTCTACATCTTGTGGTTGTTTGGGCGGCTACTAATTTTCTTCATGTCATGTACGAAATCAGGGTTATATGGTTAGATACACGTATCGGTTCACGGATACGGGTATCAGAAGTATCCATATTACTCCGTATATTTTTAAAAATAAGTTCAATACTTTTATTAAATTACGGATACGGACACAATACGTACATGACGTGTATCAGTGAGTATCAGTATCAGATACGCGGATACGGTATCAGGATGAAGTATCGGTGCACCATAGCTTATTAGAATAGG